CCTGGGATCATGACCTGAGCCGAAGGCAGACGTTTAACGACTGAGCCACCCAGGCGCCCCCTATCTTGACATTTTTAAAGCCTCTTTCTAAAATTATCAAACTATCCTATGCTGTTTAAATTCTCCAGTTTTAGATCCTTCACCTTCCTTTTGCTTTAAGTTGTCATATAATGACTTAGCTTTTTCTTGAATAATATTAGAGTCTATAGGTATCTTACAGCAATCCTGCACCCACATAAAAGCTGCATTTTCAATACAGGATAAAAAAAAATGTATATTTGGGATGCCTGGGTGGTTCAGTATTTCCTAAAAGGTACAAGGTTTTTGCACTTACTGGCATAGCCACAGGGATGGTTTCACAAATTTCCATTAAAAAAAAAACAACGAATGAACAAAAAAAAACCCCAATGGTCCTTAGGCTGGTGGGCAACTGCAGACTTCAGTCATGCAATTCAACTTTTTCTTGTAATGTCATGACTTTGCTTCTTGGGAGCTTCCAGTATCACTAGTGGCACTTTGTATGGGTCCTCTGGTGTTATTCAAGGATTATGGTAACACAAAAATTATGCAAAAACCATGGGAGATTACTTTTTACTGCAATATACAATTCACTGGAGAGATGAACACACTTGAGCTCATTGAAATAGCAACAGGAGATGGCTACAAAATTATTATATTAGCACAGTATGTACTACAGTTAGTTTTATGCAGTTATGATTTAGTACTGTATCTTTACCTTTGTTTACATTTCTCTCAACTGCAAATGGGGCATGTACAGTCTGTATGTGTTTGCATAAAATTTTGATAAATTTTAACTTTTTATGATTTGTGTATATTTTATGGTAGTAAATGATAAAATAGACTAGCATATACATATATTTTATGCATTCATGATATATCTAACTTTTTCTTAAGCTTTTCAATATTTCTAGGCTATGTGCTTTGTCTGCAAGGTTTTTCAAACTGTTGCAAATCTCCAGGAAATTTTCTAACATATTTATTGGGGAAAAAATCTGTGTAAGAGGACCCTGCATGCAGTTCAAACCCCTGTTGTCAAAGGGTCAGCTGTATAGTCATCCTAGTGGGTGTAAAGTGGTATCTTTTTTTTTTTTTTTAATTTACTTATTTGTTTGATAGAGAGAGCACTCTAGCAAGCAAGGGGAGAGGCGGGGGTCGGGGAGAGAATCCCAAGCAGACTCCACGCTGAGTGTGGAGAGCCACACGGGGCTCAATCCCATGACCCTGAGATCACGGCCTGAGCTGAAACCAAGAGTCGGATGCTCAGCTGACTGAGCCACCCAGGCGCCCCTGAAGTAGTATCTTACTGTGATTTTGATTTTCATTTCCTTGATGGCCGATATTAACTTTTCATGTGCTTGTTGGCCATTTGTATATCTTCTTTGGAGAAATGTCTATTCAGATCCTGTGCCCATTTTTAATTCAGTTATTTGTCTTTTTATTAAGTTGCAAGACTTCTTTGTGTATTCTAGATACAACTTTATCAGATATATGATTTACAAATATTTTCTGCCATTCTGTGTGTTGTCTTTGCACTTTCTTGATGATGTCATTTGAAGCACAAAAATTTTTAATTTTGATCAAATCCAGTTTATCTGTTTTTTTTTCTTTAGTTTGTGCTTTTGGTTCCTATCTAAGAAACCAGTGCCTAGTCCAAAGTTATGAAGATTCAATCCTGTTTTCTTTAAAAAGTTTTACAGTTTTGGGATGCCTGGGTGGTTCAGTTGGTTAAGCATCTGCCTTTGGCCCAGGGTCCTGGGATCGAGTCCCACATCAGGCTCCTTGCTCCAGGAGGAGCTTGCTTCTCCCTCTGCCTGCCACTCGCCCTGCTTGTGCTCTCTCTCATTCTCTCTCTCTGCAAATAAATAAATAAAATCTTAAAAAAAAAAAAAAGGTTTACAGTTTTAGCTCTTACATTTAGGTTTTTGATCCATTTTGAGTTAATTCTTGGATATTGTATGATATGGGGGTCTGGCGGGTAACCAGTTGTCCTAGCACCATTTATTAAAAAGACTATTCTTTTTTTTTAATTTTTTTTTTTATTCTTATGTTAATCCCCATACATTACATCATTAGTTCTAGATGAAGTGTTCCATGATTCATTGTTCGTGCACAACACCCAGTGCTCCATGCAGAACGTGCCCTCCTCAATACCCACCACCAGGCCAACCCATCCTCCCACCCCCCTCCCCTCTAGAACCCTCAGTTTGTTTTTCAGAGTCCATCTTCTCTCATGGTTCGTCCACCCCTCCGATTTCCCCCGCTTCATTCCTCCCCTCCCGCTACCTTCTTCTTCTTCTTTTTTTTTCTTAACATATCTTGCATTATTTGTCTCAGAGGTACAGATCTGAGACTCAACAGTCCTGCACAATTCACAGCGCTTAACAGAGCACGTACCCTCCCCAGTGTCTATCACTCAGTCACCCCATCCCTCCCACCCCACCCCCCACTCCAACAACACTCAGTTTGTTTCCTGCAATTAAGAATTCCTCATGAGGAATTCTTAAAAGACTATTCTTTTACCATTGAATTTTTTGACATCCTTGTTAAGAACATTTGACAGTAAAGAGTTTCTTTTTGAAGAATATATTCACATTTTTCCCCTTCCCCCCATATTGTCTCTAACTTTTTTATTAATTAAAAGAAATGTAGAAGGCATCTCAAACTTATAGAAAAGTTGCAAGTACAGTACAAATAACTTATTTTCTTGAACCATTGAGAGTAAGTTGCCAACATGATACCCCGCAATGATCATGTTTGTATGTATTTCCCACCAATAAGAACATTTTCCTACATAACTACAATAGAAAATCAGAAAATTAATGTTGATGCATTACAATACCAATCTTATCCTCAGCTTCCATTCAAGTTCCAGTAATATCCTTTATAACAAAAAGGATCCAGTCCAGAATCACACACTGCATTTGTCATGATTCTCTAGTCTTTTTCAATCTGGAACAGTTTCTCAATCTTTCTTGATTTTCATGACCTTGACAATTTTGAAGATTACAGGCCAGTTTTTTTTGTAGAATGTCTCTAAATTGTGATTTGTCTAATGTTTCCTCATGATTAAATTCAGTTTATGCGTATTTGGCAAGAATATCCCAGAAGTGATATTAATGTCCTCCTCAGTGTATCCTATTGGGGGCCCAAGATTTTATCATTACTGGTGGTTTTAACTCGATTGATTACTTGATTAAGGTAGTGTTTGCCAGGCTTCTCCACTATTATTGTCTTTTTACTTTTGTGACTAATAAGCATTTGTGGGAAAGCCCTTTGAGATTATATAAATCCTCCCTGTTAATCTTTTGGGTTTTTTTATTTTTTTATTTATAGCTGCATGGGCACATGGATTCTTATTTTGTTTGATGGTTTATATTTCCTTACTATCATTATTTGTATTGATGTTCCAGTTGTTCCATATTTGGTAGTGGAAGCCCCTTCAAGCTAGCTTCTTTATTCTTTTGTCATGGCCCCTCATTCTTTGAGCACTTGCTTTTTACTTTTTGGTATAATATGATGTTTGAGGTTCATTTGGTTCTTGCTCTACCCTAGCTCTAGCCCAGCTCTACCCCAGCCCTGGAATCAGCTTTTCTTCAAAGAGCCCTGGTTCTTTTTAGTAGAGAATAGCGTTAAAAACCAAGATCTGGGGGCGCCTGGGTGGCTTAGATGATTGAGTGTCTGCCTTGGGCTCAGGTCATGATCCCAGGGTCCTGTGATTGAGCCCCGCATTGGACTTCCTGCTCGGCGGGAGGCCTGCTTCTCCCTCTCCCACTCCCCCTGCTTGTGTTCCTGCTCTTGCTATCTCTCTGTCAAATATATAAATAAAACCTTTAAAAACAAACAAACAAACAAAAAACCCAAGATCTGGGTGCTAGTTATGCATATTGGGGGTGCTGCTCATCTTAGGACCTCTCAGGGGACAGAGCTAGGGAATAGTTTTATTCCCTATATGTATAGACATATCTATCTTTCTATTAAATTTCTTTCTATTAAATTTCTATTAAAATTCATCTTTTTATAAAATTTCATGAGTTCATATCAATAGCTGTAATTCCAGTTCAAACCAGAGGGATCGTTCTGTTTTTTTTCGCCTTTCCATATTTGTAATTTCCTTTTTAGACTATGAGAAAGCTGGTTCCTATTATTTTTAATAGTTGTACTTATTTGATCTATCTCTCTGTATGTACCCAATCTCTTATAGCCATTGCTGCATTCCCCTTGATACCTCTCAGCCTCCCCTCCCCCAAGTAGAAACTCTTCACCGTTATCTGGCTTTGTCCCATTGTATTGGTATGCCGTCTTCTGAGGCCTGTGTCCTCATTGGCTTGGTCTCCACTACTCTGTGCCACCCGGGCCCTATGCCACTGCCCTTTTTCCTTCATTCAGCTTTAACATCTCATGCCAGACTGCACCGGTGAGGATCTCCTCCTCACCCTCCTGAAGCTCTGAGATCCTGTGCTGTGCTGCTGCCCTCCTATATGGACATAATCCTCCTTCACCTGCTTTGGGCTCTGATACCAACTCTTGGCCATCATGACCAGTCTCACTTAATGGCTTTTGGACTGAATTATTTGTGAAGGGGTGTCACATTGTCTTTTGAGAGACGATGAAGTTTTTTTGGATATTTGTTTAGAATTAAAAGCACTTTATAAGAAGGAAAAAAAACCCAAGTAACTTGAAAATTTTACCTTTTAGGCAGTGATTGGTAGAGTTCTAGAAGGATTCCTTCTTTGGCTAACATTTAACATAAAATAACACTATTGAATTTATAATTATTTGAATCTTAATGTACATTGGTTAATGAGCTGTTCCTGACTGAGGAAATTAGAAAACAAATAGTAATTTACATCTACAAAATAATATTCATTTTTCTTCTAGCTCTTCCACCAAAGCCACCTAAGCCAATGACTTCAGCCGTTACAAATGGAATGAAGGACAGTTCTGTTTCTCTTCAGGATGCAGAATGGTACTGGGGGGATATTTCAAGGTAACTAGAATGCTACTATAATTCAATGCAGTTTAGAAACAAATCATTTTTGAGAAGTGCCCTACTAGTTGTCATTTAAAGATTACCATTTTAAAAATTGTGAGAATGCTTCAAAAGTTTCTAAATGCTGTCCTTCAACAAGAAAATGACAAGAAAATCTTTAAATTACAGGTGTGATTATTTTAATTCTGTATTAAGGATAGATTTCTGAATAAATGAAACAAAAGATTTAGGATAGCTACATGTGTTTTTCTATAAAAGATACTTCATTTTCTTTACCTTTCTGTGTCTAAGGCAATGGTTCCACAATCTTTGCATGCACAAGAATCAATTGGGGTGTGGCCCAGGAATCTGCATTTAACCTCCCTAGGTGATTTTGATGCACTCTTCACATGCCTCATTTTGAGAAACGGGACTCTAGAGCAGTAGAATGCTTTTTAGGTAAAATGTGGTTTTGGGAAATGTTGAACCTAGAGAAGGGAAAACATATATATTGAATTTGAATATTCAAATTTCTTGTTTTTCTTGAATTTTGTTTTAAAAAAGACCTATCCATTTCTGTCAAATTGAGTTCAAGGTTGATGCTGTGTTTTTCAATATGCTTGTGTTTCTCTTTCTCTTGTCTGTTCTCTTCAACTACCAAAGTGGTACTCATTTCTTTTTTTTTTTCCTTTGTTACCATTTTAACCATCTTTTTTTTTTTTTTTTGAAGATTTATTTATTTATTTATTTGAGAGAGAGAGAATGAGAGACAGAGAGCATGAGAGGGAGGAGGGTCAGAGGGAGAAGCAGACTCCCTGCTGAGCAGGGAGCCTGATGCGGGACTCGATCCCGGGACTCCGGGATCATGACCTGAGCGGAAGGCAGTCGCTTAACCAACTGAGCCACCCAGGTGCCCCCATTTTAACCATCTTTAAATGTACAGTTCAGTGGCATTAAGTACATTCACCATTTGTTCAACCATCACCATCATCCATCTCTGGAACTATTTCATCTTCCCCAAAGCGAAACTTTGTACTCATTAAACACTAACTGCCTTTTCCTCCTATTCTCCCCAGCCCTGGAAAACCACCATCCTGCTTTCTGTTTCTATGAATTTGACCACTCTAGGTACCTCACATAAGTGGAATCATACAATATTTATCCTTTTGTGACTGGCATATTTCACTTAGCACAATGTCTTCAAGGTTCATCCATGTTGTAGCATGTATCAGAATTTCCTTCCTCTTTAAGGTTGAATAATATTCCATTATGTGTATATACCACATTTTTATTTATTCATTCATCTGGACATTTGGCTTTGAACATTTGGATTGTTTACAGCTTTTGGCTATTGTGAATAATGCTGCCATGAACACTGGTGTAGAAATGTTTATTCAAGTCCCTGCTTTTATTTTTTTCATTTTTATTTGTTATTTTTTAAAGGGTGGAGGGGCAGAGGGAGAGAGAGAATCTTAAGTAGGCCCCCCGCCCAACGCGGAGCCCATATGGGCCTTGATCTCACAACTCTGAGATCATGACCTGAGCTGAAATCAGGAGTTGGCTGCTTAGCCGACTGAGCCACCCAGGTGCCCCTCAAGTCCCTGCTTTTAGTTCTTTGGGGTGCATACCCTGAAGTGGAATTTCTAAGTCATATGGTAATTCTATGTTTAAGTTTTTGAAGGAGACTTAATATATTTTATATTAAAATGGATCAGAAAATTTTTGTTATAATTGTACAATAAAAGGATCTATTATATTTAAATACCATTTAAATTTATATTCTAAGACCTTGTGGGTCTATAACTCAAGAGTCTTCTGTGCCCTGCCATATCCTGAGTGTTCTAGTGTTTTTTCTTAAGTCCTAAACCAACTCTGCAGGAGGACTTTATCATCAGTATAAATTCAAATTGGAGAAGATTATATTGAAAGGTTGTGAACTTAGTGAATTTCCCTCCCTCTGATCAGACACAGCTGCCACTGTTGCTTAAACACAACCTTCTTTCTAAACAGCTGCTGGTTTTTCCTGAAACCCTACAAGTTTAGACTTGCCTAAGGAAGCCCTAAAGGCTTAATGGAAATACTATCCCCTACAGACGGGTTGAAATCTGGAAGAGTTTAAAAAGCAAATAGCCCTTCCTTAGATTGCATAATACTGAAAATCAAAACAGAAAGATCATATCTAGGGGGAGGAATTAAATGACCTCTGAAGGCCCCCATAATTCTATGACCTTAGACATACTCACCTCCTAACTAGCCTTAGTAATATTTGAAGAGAATAATTGATGATTAATTTTTTTTCATTTTTCCTGTAATTCTATTTTTCAGGGAGGAGGTAAATGACAAATTACGGGATATGCCAGATGGTACGTTCTTGGTCAGAGATGCCTCAACAAAAATGCAGGGGGATTACACTTTGACTTTGCGGTGAGTATTTTTCAGCATTTTGACTAGTGTTCTACTAGCGTTATTTATTTCTGGGTATACAGAGATTTTTGTATTTATTTAAATGACTACACATTTTAAAATATTTTTACTTAATTTAGATACACAATTTTTAGTTGTTTGGCTAACTGTCCTTTCTCCATACGTTAAATATTTAAATGTCTTATATAAAGATGGCAACAATTTTAATTTTTATGTAGGAATAAAATCCCTAAAAGTAAGTTATGAAGTAAGAATTATACTGTTGACCTTGTGCAAGAAGTAGAAGTCATGGGCACAGCCTGAGGTTATTAATGATATGTTGGGAATCCACCCCTCTAATAACCCTATTACTTTCCTCAATGCAGACTTAAGAGAGTAAAACTTAGCATAGTTTAGGCTGATGAGGATATGTAGAGGATAAAGCAATTCTTTTTTTTTTTTTTTTTTTTAAGATTTTTTATTTATTTGCGAGAGAGACAATGAGAGACAGAGAGCATGAGAGGGAGGAGGGTCAGAGGGAGAAGCAAACTCCCTGCTGAGCAGGGAGCCTGATGTGGGACTCGATCCCGGGAGTCCAGGATCATGACCTGAGCCGAAGGCAGTCGCTTAACCACCTGAGCCACCCAGGCGCCCGAAGATAAAGCAGTTCTTAGCCTCTATCATGCCAACCATGTAGAACGGATGTAGAATCCATATTAGAATTTCCTAAGTGATGCTGAATGTATCACCTTTTATATTTACGAAGATGGGACATATATTTTAAAAGATTAGTAAAACTGCATCAGATATTTTTACATTTAATTTTAACAATTAAAATAACCTAATTATAATAAAGTACTGTGATTTTTAAAAAAGGGACTATCTAAAGAAAAATATAATGAAAGCAGCAGCGATAACAACTCCCTTGTACTACACATTTTACACGCAATATCTTATTATTCCTCACAACAACCTTTGAGGTAGGTATTATTAATATTTGCATTTTATAGACAAGGCACCTGAAGCTTAACCTGGTTAAGAAACTTTCCTAAAGACCTATAGCTAGTAAATGGCAGAGGATATGTTCAGATCCAGATTTATCTGACTCTTTTCTGCCTTTCTGCCTACTATCTTTAGGAAAAATCATTTATTTTATGCTAGAAATTTGGAGTTTCTGGTAAAGACATTATAAGAAGTTAATACCTTGGAACTTTAGTTGTGTTGAGGAATAATCAAAGTTCTGTAATGATTCATTTGACTCAATTTTCTCCCCCCTGCTCCAGTCAGGCTTCTGTCCTTACCACTCTTACAAGGACTGCTAAACCAATGACCACTTCCCTCTTCTTACCTCACCTGACCTCTTAGCAGCATTAGTCATAGGCATTTCTTCCTAGAAACAGTTTATTGTCTTGGCTGTTGTGACATCACACTCTCCTGATTTTCTTCCTAACTCTAGGCCAGCCATTCCTTTGCTCAATATCTAAATGTTAAGTGTTCCAAGCTTGGAGTTGGGCCTCCTTCTCTTCTCTGTATTGGTTCTCCCAAGGTGAGCTTATCCAGTTCCATGGCTTTAATATACAATTACATGGTGATGATCCATAAACCCCATCTCCAGCTCTGACCTCCAGAACTCTACATGCATATATCCACTTCCTACTTGATTTTGCCACTTAGATAACTAGGGGACATATTAATTTGAACATGGTCAAAGAAGAATTCTTGATTTCTAACCCAACTCCTCCTACCCAAACTGTTTCTCTTCTATTTACTTTTTTTTTTCTTCAGAAATAGAACCACCATCTCTATAGTACTCATGTTACAGCTCTTTTTTCCCCTCTCTTTTCCCACATCTTCACATCCAAATCCATCATTAAACAAGTCCTGCCAACTTTACCTCCAAATCTATATTTGTAATCTCATTATACTTCTCTACCACCCAACAGTAAGCCACCATCATCTTGCTTGATCTTTTGCAGTCATTTCCTGACAGGCCTGTCAACATCTTATAATTTCTAACCTTCCCCACCCCTGCTGACCATTTTCTGCACAGAAACTAGAGTGATCATTTTAAGGTATGAGTCTGATTACTCTTTTGCTTAAAATTCTTTTAAGAGTTTCCCTACTGCACTTAAGGTAAAGAATTTGGATTTTATTCTAACTTATCTATTTGACCTGGACTTGGTCTACTTCTTATACTTCATTTCTTCCCTCTCCCTCCCCCCACTACCTTCAGCCTCACTAGCCTTTTAGTACCTCAGGCAAGTGAGCCTTATTCCTGTCTCAGGGCCTTTGCAACAGGCCTTTCTGATCTTTGAATCCTTGTTTCCTTTTTGTCATTCAGATCTTTGCATAATTGCCACCTCTTCAGGGCTTCCCCAACCACTCAGTCCAAAGTAGCTATCCGAGGATATATATTGCCTCAATTTAATTTTCTGTATGGGCTACTTCTGTATCTTCTCCTTTCCCACCTTGTAGGTCTCACCCCACTAGAATTTAAGTTCTCTGCTACTAGGGACTTTGTTTAATCATTGTTACATTTCCAGACTCCAGTGTGTGATAATGGATAGGCATTAGACAATGGATGCCTAATAAATATTTATTAACAGAATGAATGCCCTCATTTATCTGAAAAATGGTTTTGTGTGTTTTTTTTTTAAAGATTTTATTTATTTATTTATTTATTTATTTGACAGAGAGAGAGAGACACAGCGAGAGAGGGAACACAAGCAGGGGGAGTGGGAGAGGGAGAAGCAGGCTTCCCGCCGAGCGGGGAGCCCGATGCGGGGCTTGATCCCAGGACCCTGGGATCATGACCTGAGCGGAAGGCAGACACTTAGCCGACTGAGCCACCCAGGCACCCCTGAAAAATCCCATACTAAGGCATTATTTTATGATGGTTAGATTCCTAAATGCAACTAAATAAAAGCAACAATTTTTGTATCTTGGGATGAGGAAAAGAGCCTGCAAAAGTTCCATTACTTACCTGAAGTTGCAGCGCTGTTCAGGAACAAAGGCTGGCAAGGGGTCCCACTCACAGCCACCATGAGAATTTTTCTGCTAGAGACCTACAGCTGGAAGGGATCTTTAATACTAGCTCATTCAACTGGGTTTCTGCAGATGTTGGAACTCCCTGCATAACATTTTTCGGAGTCATTGAACTTCCATGTTATCTTTCAGTCAGTGGGAGCTAGCATCTTCCTTTTGAGGCAGCCCATTTTATTGTTGGGCAGCTTTAAAGTTTAGAGGGTTATCTTCGTGCTGGATATTATGGTAGGACCAGGAATAAGGACATGAATAAGATATAGTTTTACCCTCAAGAGTTCATAATCTCAGTGTGTAATGGTGGAATAGGAGAGATACATATATACTATACCTTAATGCATTGTAGTGTCATATTAGCGTTCTCCCCATTCACCCCTGCCCCTAACTCCTGGTAACCATTGTTTTACTTTCTGTCTTTGTGAATTTGATTATTTTAAGTATCTCATATAAGTGGAATCATACAATATTTATCCTTTTGTGTCTGGCTTATTTTATATAAAGTAATGTTTTTAAGGTTCATCCGTGTTGTAGCATGTCAGACTTTTCTTCCTTTTTAGGGCTGAATACTATTCTATTACATATGTATACATTTTGTTTATCCATTGGTCAATGGACATTGGCAAGAATATTTTAAAGTTTTTGTGCATCTAACAAAAGGTCTGACATGTAGGTACTCAGTAACTATTTGAAAGGAAAAAATAAATGAGAGAAAGACGAAGAAAAGTTTTCTCAGAGGGAATGACAGTTTAGCTGGGCCTTGATAGATTTTGTTAGGCAGAAAAGTGATGATCGGGGCACCTGGATGGCTCAGTCGTTAAGTGTCTGGCTTCGGCTCAGGTCATGATCCCAGGGTCCTGGGATCGAGCCCCGCATCAGGCTCCCTGCTCCGCTTCTCCCTCTCCCACTTCCCCTGCTTGTGTTCCCTCTCTCGCTGTCTCTCTCTCTGTCAAATAAATAAATAAAATCTTAAAAAAAAAAAAAGAAAGAAAGAAAAGTGATGATCTTACTAGGGTTTAGTAAATACTCATAGCTCAGTACTAGTTACTCTGCAGAAGATCTGACAAAGAGTTAACTTTTTTGTCTCAAAGAAGCCATAGTCTGGTGAAGGCAACAGGAATAAGAAAACTGCCTTGAATTAAAACAAAATAATAGAAGTTCAAACTGTGCTTTGGGGGCTGAAAGGAAGGAAAGAGATAGCTTGTTGAGAGGATATAGAAAGCTGCCCTTCATGGAAAAAATTGCATTGCCATGTATCTGGAAGAAGGGATAGGTTTGGCCATGTCGAAAGAGGGAAGGGAGGTTGCAGGATTAGGTAACAAGAGGAACAGAGATATGGAGGTGAGAAACTATTGTGCCCTGTTCTCTGAGCGGCAGTCCCATTTGGCTAGAGGGTTAAGTCCACAAGAGGAACAAGTGATAGGGGATGGAGGGTTGGAAAAGGGTCATGTTAAGGAGGGCCTTGAATTCTAAAATGTGGAGTTTGCATTTAATATTATAGGTAGGCAGAGGAAACCATTGCATTTTTTCAGCAGGGAAGCATATGATCAGACTCTATTTGAATAGAAAGAATAAAAGAGGATAGATACTAGTAAAAGGTTAGAATATCATGAATCATTGGGGTGCTTGGCTGGCTCAGTGGGTAGAGCATGCTACTCTTGATCTCAGGGTCATGAGTCAAGCCCCGCTTTGGGCATAGAGCTTACTTAAAAAAAGAAAATTTAAAAACATAGAATATTATGAATTGAGAGGTAATGGTGATCCAGAATAGAATTTATTCTTTAATCATTTAATATTTATGGAGTGCCCACAATGTTCTAGGTACTATTCTAGGAAAAGGAAATGATGAACAAGCTGAACATGGTCTCCTGTCTATAGTGTTTATATTTGGAGGTGGAGATAGGAGTAGAGGAGAGGAAGACACAATAAACACATAAAAAATAACTTCACAGTATATGAAATGCTACATAGGAAATATACCT